GGCGATTATGTAAACAACAATTTGAGTTTTGCTATAGCACATATCGCGTTATGTGAGTAGATGTAAGCAGGTATACATTTGGAAAATAATAATTTTTTAGTGCTGTCAATCGATTAAAAAAATTAACTAATTAATTGCATTTTTTTCTGAACATTAAAATGTTTAAATATACTTTTATATTGCAATAATTTCACATTCAATATTTAAATTAATGTAGAAACAGCATATAGACAAATTTTTTTAAATATTTGTTTAATGGCATCTTTCTTATGACTGAAGGCAAGTATCATTTATAGCAATACTATATGTCTATTTATATATCTAAAAAAAAAGTCAGTGGTTAAATATTGACATATATATATATATATATATATATTTAACCATTGACTATAGCCATTCAACATTACAATATAACTGAGAGTTATCAATTTGAACCTTTATTAGACTTTAAAAAATAAGAACTTTTAATTTAAGTGAACTTAATAAATTTAGTCAATATTAGAAAAATATGACATTATAGGTGTTACCAATTAAATCAGTATCAACCAAAGCCGTCTTTGCAGTTTGGCACAGAACTGCATCTTAAGTTGATTTTAAATGTATTTACACAGTTTATGCTGCTGAGGGGTAAATGCGTTAATACAGCAATTACAGTTGCATCATGTAATGCGATTAATGTTTTAAACAAAAACATTTTGAATACAGAAATATGAAATGAGTGACAAAATGAAACGATAGGATACGTGAATTATGAAGGTTACATCGCCAGTAGGTGGCAGCAAGTCAATCCAGTTGTGTTGATTAATGAGTCATTGAGTCATCCATTCAGCCGATTCTTTCAAAATGCTGATTCGCTCAGGATCAAAGCAAATGCGTCATTGAACCATTCATTTAAACGATTCATTCAAGAACAAAACACCACTCTGTTAAATAAAACACACCATTTTGTGTCTAAATGAAATCAATTTATACTAATTTTAATTAAATAAACTCAGTGTACTGTCTAAAATAAAAGTGACTGTTGCGTATTAACACTAAAATTGATACTGGTCTGTGCTTCACTATAATGTAAATGCATTCGCTCCATGCTGTCCAGTGCATCATGCAGTTTTGCCACACAGATTTTGATAACTGGACAGCTGAATAAAATGTGTGGTGTGCCAGAACTAGATTAAGAAGTACACTAAGGGGTAATGTGGGTGCAGATGCGAGGTACATTCATATTTCTGAAACATACACCTACACTGTATAAAATGATTTGTTGGTTTGACTTGAAGTAAGTAACCTGGTTGCCTTAAAATTGAGTTCATTGAAACTAAGAATTTCAGTTATTACAAAGATAGTGTTTTTGTTGTTTCAACTAATATTTTGTTCTAAGAATTAAAGATATTTTTTTTTACTTCATATTTTGTTGTCATAACTTTGGATTAAATTTTGTATCAACTTAATCAAGCAATCAAGAGGATGGGATTGCCAGCCCCTTTGCGTTAAATATTGTTAACGCGTTACATTGAAAATTTAATCACATGCGTTAATTTTGACGGCACTATTTTTAAAATGTACTGTTTATCATAAAATAACACGCTATTTGATGTAGCATTCTTGTCTGTAGCACAACGGTTGTGACATAAGTTTAATGCATTGATATGTGGTTGCTAGGTTGTTCTGGGTGGTTATTAGGGCAATGCTAGACACGTTCATAAATGCAGCATTATATACAAAATAAGCCAATGAAAAATCAATTTTTTAATGAGCTGCGGTTTCAAAATTAAGCTGTGATTGATCAGACAGAGAGGAATGTTCAATGTCTCGACTAAACGACAATTCAATGTACACCATTTTCTGCGATCACATTGGCTTGGATGGTTGCCAGATTGTATCCTGAAAGCTTTTTTTGTTTGTTTGTTTTATAATGAAAAAGAAAAAATGCTGATCCCAGCTCAGCCTTTGAAGCGCAAGACAAGACGAGGAAAATAATGAACATCAGTGTATAGTATCCCGAGCCGCTACATGCCATTAATTGGCAGTTGCAGTCTATTAAGATGCAGTGAGGGCTCTGTGACGGCAGTAGCCGGGAGGGCTGGGTGCTTTGTCTCAAGCCGTGCTGGGGAGCGTGAGCTGCAGCCTTGAGAGGTGTAATAGCTGCCCCTCCCAGCTCTTTGTTCAACACTCCACCGAAAACACATCTGTTTCTGACTCCTTCTCGCTTGCTGTCCTTCTTTGTCTCCATCTCTTTTTCTGCTGCCCTGTCTCTTCCTTTTGCAGGGTTTCTCTCTGTTGGGGGAATGTTTGTTCGGTTTCTTTCTAAACATTGTGATGAAGTCTTCCTGGTACTTTCGGATGGTCTTCTTAGGTTATGAATGTGCCGGCCTGCTCTGACATCTGAGATATCGTACTGGGCTTTCATAACAGCACAGTGCACCATCATAAAAATTAAGCCAGTCATGCACACACACACACACACACACACACAGAGAGAGAGAGAGAGAGTTTGGATCTGCAGCATGTCTAAACTGCCCCATTGCAGCCATATGGGACTGTCTAACTGTGTTACTGTGAAGAGGGAAAATGGCATAAAGGAGATGAGAAACAAAAAGACAAAAGAATAGGAGAGAGAAATAGAGACGGGGCAATGGAAATTCAGCTGCAGTTCCTGTTGTATCCAGCGGTAGGCGATGCAAGTCTCACTTGGACTCTGTGCCTCTCCCGGATAACTCTCATTGTCTCCCCGAGGCACACACACATACACACACACCATCAAATCCGCAATCAAAAACCCACAGACACACTCATCATGGATCTGGTGCCCATGTGTTTCAATTAAATTGGGATATAATTTAAAAAAAAAAAAATTCTTATTGTAATGTCCAAGCTACAATCTCCAACTACAGGCTTATGGACAAGTTTAAAGACAATCGTAATGTGCCACCTAAATCATTTAGGCTAGTCTTTTTCTTAAAGGTGATGTGTATTTTTTATATTAAAATACTTAAATGCATGTGTCCTAATGTGTAATAAGGCATTAACGACTAGCTCAGATATTGAGGTAATATTGTGAATGACGTGTGTTCAAATTCTGCAGGAACACCACAGAATTTTGCGGTTTTTGATTGCACATTATTTACAACATTATCTCAATGTAATTCTGCACACATAGATTCTATGAGGGCCATTACAAAATGTTCTCAGTTTTTGGATTATTGACATTAAATGCTACAGTTGTTGTGAAAAAAGATGCTTCACTTGTTGTGCAGACTCAATGTTTGGAATATACTTGTGCTCATTGCATGTCAGAATTACCATAATGGTGCAATACTGACTTGTAAAAAGTGCTCATGTCCTCGTAGAACTTGTAATTACTTGTAAACCTGGAAAGCTTAATTTGTGGAAAGCTCAGTCTTGTATAACATGACCACTGCAGTGTCATGCGGAAACACTCAAAATGGCAACGGCTTCAGCAGTAAGATGTAGTTAAGCAGTTATTTCTAAATGTTTCTGCTTAATAATTCCTGTAGTTGACTATTGTCAATGTCTAAATAATGCAAGAATAATCTGAAAATAAACAAAAGGCATACAGTACAGTTTAATACAGCTAGTACAGAGTTAATAATCTAATGTCCCACTAAACAAACTATAAGTTTAGTAAAATTGCATTTGCACAACTGCTGTTACATGTTGTATTGTTGTTTTGTCTACTTGATTACTCAAATACACATTTTGGTGTTAATAGTGTTGCCACAGAAACACATAATTCCTAGTCCAAAGACATGAACTGCTCTTCCTGGAATGTCATACAGTAATTACGGTAATTATGATATGGTGTGAATGCTGCATATCATACTAGCATCCTACTCACACTATTTCTGCAGTACGTGCTATATATATTCTATATAGTATGCACATTTTGCATATGCATGACATACTTGGATGATATACTACATTTGCCAAAATGTGTAGTATACGAAAGTGCGCACTGCACTTGGCTGCTGTATCCCACAATGCAGTGCACCCCTCTTGACCTTCCATTTACAGTGCGACAAATAAAGCAGAAGTAAAATCAGGAGTGATTTTTAACATATTTTTCTGTAAAAAAAATATATTCCTTTTTAATAAGTGGTTCTGCCAAAAGATATTTTTACATAAAATGCAAAATAACTGCTTTACAGGTGCATCTCAATAAATTAGAATGTCGTGGAAAAGTTCATTTATTTCAGTAATTCAAGTCAAATTGTGAAACTCGTGTATTAAATAAATTCAGTGCACACAGACTGAAGTAGTTTAAGTCTTTGGTTCTTTTAATTGTGATGATTTTGGCTCACATTTAACAATCTCAACAAATTAGAATACTTCATAAGATCAATAAAAAAAAAATTTTTTAGTGAATTGTTGGCCTTCTGGAAAGTATGTTCATTTACTTTACATGTACTCAATACTTGGTAGGGGCTCCTTTTGCTTTAATTACTGCCTCAATTCGGCGTGGCATGGAGGTGATCAGTTTGTGGCACTGCTGAGGTGGTATGGAAGCCAGGTTTCTTTGACAGTGGCCTTCAGCTCAT